CCCATTGAACATTTACGAGATGAAGTAGAAAGATGATTAAGAAATACGGTTATTACTTCGAAAGAGGTGTTAAAAGGAAATATTATTGAAATATGGCAATCAATAGATGCAAATGTTACTTCTAAGTTGGTCCACTCAATGGAAAATAGACTTAGGGGTGTTATAAAAGCAAAAGGTGGATCAACTTCCTAGTAAAACCTTTAATCGTTCAATTTAAATAACTATTAATTGTTTCGTTCGAATACTTTTGTGAGCCATTTCTGGTACGTGTTCACAATAAATGTACTGTAAAAACGCTATATATTGTTGAATTATTTTCTAATTTTGCTTACGCAGTCTTATGACCCATCCCTTGTTATATGTGTCATATTATATCATATGCTTCAGTTTAACACATATATTTGATTAATTGAATGTTAGAAACGTAAGCGTTCGAATACTTTCGTGTATGAGTGTATATAAAACTGTTTTTACGTCTCAAAACATTGCTAAAATCGTCCTGAACAGCCATTTCATCGATTGTGGGACCACTGTGCGACGCGGCGCTTAACGCCCGACGCGCGAAGTCGCGCGTTCATCTCCGTTTCCGGATGTTCGGCTTTGCAGGGATCACGGGAGACGTGAACATCGACGAGAACGGGGATCGTATCGCGGACTATTCTCTTCTCGACATGAATCCGGAAACGTCGAGGTTCGAGGTAAAACAAACCATCGGCGAATCGTTCGCGCGAACTCTATCGTCGTTCGAACCGTTTGTCCGCAGATCGTAGCGAATTTCTACGGGGCCAACAAAACGTTCGAATATGTCCCCGGGAAGAGGATTCACTGGTCCGGTGGTCGCGACGACGCGCCACCGGACACACCCACATGCGGATTCGATGGTTCCTTGTGCCCCGACAACTGTAAGTGTCCCGTTCAACGATCAACGCGATCCGCCCTCTAAAATGTTCTCCGTTTAACAGCTCTGCCGGGTCACGCGATCCTCTCGATGGTTTTGAGCTCGATCGTTGTCGTTCTCGTTGTCGCTTCGGTCTTCATTTACAGGTAAGCAGGTGCTTGTTCCTTTTCCGCAAAGAGGGACCCATTCACCGGTGACAAGTGGAAAAGGAAACCGTGTTTATGGGGGGTGCAGCGCATTGTCGATTGTCGTTCGTACCCAGACCCAGCGGGTCGTCGAATGCAACGATAATATTTGACTTCGCTTTTGTAGGCACTTTAAACTCGAAGCGGACATAGCTTCCATGACGTGGAAAGTACACTGGAGCGACATCGAGGTGGTACCGAAGGCGAATTCCGGCGGTTCCGTGACTTCTTTCATCGTGTACAAGCCGCGCGGAAGCCACACAGTGAGTACTAAAACGCGAAATACAGTAAATTCTTCCTAATTGTCCATGTTAGAGGCTTGCCGACATTGTCCCTGTGCTATCTCCTACGCCTATACAGGGTGTCTAACAAATTACTCGCAATCGGGTAATGAAGGATTCCTGAAGCCGTTTTAGCCCAAATGCAATCCGTGACTTAATTTACGCGTTATGAGCGAGAAACAGCGACCAATGAAAGGCGAGCTCGACTGCCTCAGTTCTGCTCATTGGCTCGGACGCCTCGCGCCAGCAGATCTCGCATCACATTGGTCACTGTTTTTCGTTAATAACTCGTAAACAAAGTTGGGGATTGCATTTGTGCTCAGGAAAAAGTTACTTCGAATGACCTTAGGAATCCCTCATTTCCCGATTGCCAGTGACTTTTGGGACACCCTGTATATGGTATTATCATGTCTGTTGCTAAGGTTCGACGGTGTCAGTCAAACGTACAATGCGGCACGCCACGCGACTCCTTTGACTAGAATTCTCGGAATAATATACTCATAATATGCTCGAAACATAATCTTTTTAATTCTAACATTTCTAAACTGAATTTTCTTTGCATATTGCTGATAATTTTCTGATTAACATAAGATCAAACAGAATTCGGGCAGATATTTCTGGTTAAATAAAATCAAATCAATCACGATGTAGTTGAATAAATATGGTCTAAAGCGTGTCGTCTTTAGTCTCATTTTAATTGGAAAAATCTGACCAATGCGGTAAAAAAATAATCATGAGTGAAAAATTAGAAATAAAAAAGTTAAGCCATCGTTTTTAATTCTAGCATTATTCTGTATTTGTATTAATGTACACCGATATGCTGGCCGCTGACTTCTAACTTTGCCGACTGCCCTGATTTTCGTTCTATCTCTCTCTCACTCTCCCTCTCTTTTTTCTTTCACACACACACACGCATACGTACGAGATGTTGGCAACTATAAAGGCAAGCCGCGAAGAATCGTGTCTGGTTTGCCTAAGTTGTCTATTTTCGATTCCAAGCTGCGAGACTATTACAGAGAATTTATTGTATTGGGAAATACGATATACTCGTTTTCAACTGGTTTATTTATTTATTTATTTACAAACGGGTTTGATCCTTTGGTATAATGAAATACGGTCAAAAGATTTCACACAGAGCCGTCGTAGGACATTTTTTTTAAAGGTAACACTGTCCGACACGATTTTTGAGTTCCTATAGCCACTATGAAATTCTTGTAGAGCTTCACTCCCTGAACAAGAATCCGAAAGCCGAATTGCTCCATCACCCTTAGTTTTTTAAATAAACGAACTTTTGTAAAAACCCAAAATTTTCGACAAAAATGACGTATTGCATGAAAAGTACAAATGTTAGAAAGTTCTAATTGGTGTTAAAAGATAGAGGAGAGTTTCCCGAATATAGTGGCATGCAATTTATTAATTGTTTTTGGTCCTAAATAGCAATAAATTAATGTCAAATTTTAAAAAATATCGACGTGAGCAGTTTCTGCGCAATATTTTGTATTTTTACGAAAAGTTCTTTGTTCAGCACGAAAACTCTACCCAGGATCGGATTCTGTAGACATTTCTGAAGAAATGCCCTATTGGATCCCTCCATCGGTGTTGATTATCCATAGCTTCGGTCCTGTCGGACAGAGAGAAGCGAGCATACAAGCGAGTGTACATGTTGCCGTCGAACATTTTCTCGATCTATTTAAAATGTATATCGTTCCGACACTTTTACCGGGCCGTTTCTTCTTCAGAAATGTCTACAGAATCCGATCCTG